TAATAAAAATATAATATCTTAAAATGTTAATTTATAAGTCAGTCTAAATTATGTCACAATTTTTAATTAAATAGCTGAGATGGAATTTATGAGGAGGAAGGTATTATGTTGTTACTCCATTTAAATAGTAGTGGCACATACTGATGCCCTACTATTAATCCTATTAACTACTATTCAGAAAATATGTATACGGTTGCACGAAATTAGTATTTTTGCATTCACTACTCCCCCAGCTAAACTCAGCTTCAGCAATGCTTTCTGAATTGACAAGTGCGATGATTAAATCACAGAAATCTTATCTGATGCATTGTGCAAAAGGATATACCCACCATATCAGATTACCCACCATATCAGAATCTATGTTCTCATATCTTTCCTCATTTTCAACGGGGCCAAAGATTGATTCAGAAGGCAGTTCTCTTTTACATATAATTTCCGAGGTTTTCAGAATGAATTGCACATTCGAAAAGATGTTTGGGTACTTGTAATAAGATTCTTCAGATAGAGAAAGTGCTATTGTAAGAAAAACCATTTGAGAGAAATATTTCATTGATATTTTGTGTTGTGTTTCATTTGTCTTTTAGTTATTAAACTATAATTAAATTAATACTTAGATGGTGAAACTGCTGTACAATTCCCCATCTAGTCAAGATTTATAATGTTATGTGTGCCCCCTGGTGGTACAACATAAAACTACAAGGTAAATAATTTGTACTTAAGAGTTGATGTAATTCAGAACAGCAACTGCGCAATGGTTGAATACCCAATATAGTTACTGCTCAGCAATGCTTGGAAGCTTCCAGATGAAAATAAATCAAGTTATAATAGACATTCTATTCATAATAGATACTTAGAAATTGTAATCCTACAAACAAATCAATGTCATAGATTCTAACCCAACATTCTCCAGTTTTATTTCTTTTCAAGATGTTTTTATTGATTTTTCAAAGTATATATTTTAAATATAGGCAAAAATTATGCCATTTAACATAAGACTATGTGATATTTAACATAATAATCTTAATCTTTGTGCTTCAGTCCATTTACACAGTAGAAAAATTAGTAATGAGAATTCTTCTACTGGACAGCTATGTGGATAGGTAGCAGCTGCTAACAGCCTCAGGTAGAAAACAGCCAGTTGCTGAAGATAGAAATGTAATCTAAGGCTCTACTTAACAGTGTTTGATAAGAAGGCAGAAGCTGGGGATTTTATTCTTATATGAAAGATGTTAGTTTTCTTGGAATATGTCCATAATAATAAGTTAATATGAGAAGTTGAGGTTTTATTTGCATAATTTTCCAAAATTTATTTGCCACCATCATCTGAATATATTAATATGATAAATCACTATGCTGAATATTGTGTGCATTAAGAAGAGGATTTATAATTTAATGAAGAAATCAAAATAAATGATATGGTAGACAAGAATTCCTATTCCATCAGTCTGTAGCTTCCTCTTGGTTCCATACCCCCTCGGGACTTACAGTAGTGGTGCAAATTGATCAGTCTCCACAGCACTTCTGCTATTATATTTTATTCCCTCCACCATGACTTTTTCCATCAACTATTATTTCCTTTTTTAAAAATCTTGAGTCTCCTTTCCTTATCCTACAACATACTAATCTTCTCTTCTTTTGACCTTGTTTTTTCATGAAAACTATTCACATATTTATATGTCAGCATAAAAATTTATAGCCAAGTTCATTTGAACTAGTTCATGATCTTTTTCTTGTGCTTAAATTTTCCTTCACTGTGTACTTACCTCCAATCTGAATTTTACTTCCACCTCTCCACTGGGGATACTCTTTAGATCAACAATAACTTTCTGATTGCAGAAACCCATCACCATTTTTTATACCTCCTACAGTTTAATACTTCTATGGGTCTTGATGGTGCTGATCTTGAACCTCCTTCCTTGGATGTCATCACTCCATCCTAGTTCCCTTACTTATCTTTTACTGGGCTCTGTTATACCAATAATCCATTAAATGTTTGTATTGTTAGAATTAGTTTTACCTCACCCCACCCTTCACCCTCAGATTATCTTAGCCGCATTAACATGGATGACTGTCAAATCTATATCCCAGGTAGGCTTCATTTATTTCCCTAGTTCCAAACCTACGTTTTCAACTGCTTGCTGGGTACCTGAGTGACCTTAAAATTTAATATGTCCAATATTTCTCCAAAATTTTGCCACTTCAGAACATCATTATCTTTTTAAAAAAATTTTAATTTAAAGAGGTTTATGCTGAGCCGAATATGTGTGACCATGGCCCGGTGAGCCCAAGAAGCCTTGAGCAAGTGGTCTGCAGAACATCATTATCTTGACCCTATTACTCAATATGCAAAACTTCAGCTTCCTCTTGAATTACTCACTTTCTTTCACATATAGCTTAGAAACTGATCACCAATTCCAATACCTTACTAAAATATGAAGTTAACTTTCTGGAAATCCAGTGAGGTAGATACCGTTACAGATAAGGAAAGTGAGTCACAAACAAGCTCATATACTGGGTTAAGGAGGAAAGTAAAAAGGTGAATGTGGAATGGGAGTTACCAGAGGCTGGAGCAGGAAGTGGAGGGGCGAGTGGAGGGGGCGGTGGGGAGATGTTAGTCAAAGGGTGCAAAGTTTCAGTTAGACAGAAGGAATAAGTTCTGGTAATTTATCGAACAGCATGATGACTATAGTTAATAATAATGTACGCTTCAAAATTGCTAGTTGATTTTAAATTTTCTCATTGCAAATAAATGATAAGTATATGGAGCAAAAAAAGCTAAACAAATGCAATCTGGCCCAGAAACAATGCTCTTCAACACTGCACCTATTATCTTTCATGAAATACAGTTTATGCTTTTTATAGTGGCAGTCTGAGCTACTCAAAATATAACATAAAACATTTATAAGTATAAAAAATAAAAGATACTCTACCGTATAAATATGGTTGAAGTCTAAGTAAATGTTGTTTAAAACTTTCTAAGTGACCATGCAGGAAAAATATAAAAAGTCGTAAGAAAACCAAATAGCCAATCTGTCAAAAGAGAAGAGAAAAAACCATTTTTGTGTTGCGTCAATAAATGTTTAAGAACCATAAAAAAATAAAACATTTTATTATTACATTTACTTTTGATAAAACAATTTCAAGCTCACTTGATATTATGTGTTTTTGAAATAACTTTAAAACACTTATATCAAGATTGAAATGCTGGTTCAGCCAAAAAACTTTTTATAAATCATCCCTACATTACATGTAATGACCAATACTGAATGCTATTTTGTTCTATGCCCTTTAGAACAATATTCTTCAAATTGCAAGTCATGCCCCTTAAGTGAGTCATGAAATCAATTGAGAGATTTTTAAATAAAATAAAAGCGAAGAGAAAACATTATAGTACATTGCACAATTCCTCGTTTCAGTATAAAAATGATTATATATTATGTGCTTGCTCGATTGAAATGCAAAGGATATTTCTTCCTATGGGTCTCAGTCAAAACAGTCTGAAAAACATTTCATTAGGTAGTGTTGAGAACTACTCTGCTTGTGCATATTAATAGTATGCTGTACTAAGCTTCTTATTCCTGCGTGAAGAAAAAAATAACCCTCGCAATGTCATTATTAAATAACCATTGTCAAATATTACTTCTGTGAAGTTTAAATCACATGCATAGCTAAAAATAGTTTTACATAGACTACATAAAATGGAAGGTCTGCAAAAACATATGATTTGCAAGATTTTACAGAAAATTAGAAAAAACACAGCAACTATAGAAATAAATGAAATACAAGTTGCCTAAGTTGCTAAATCATGGAGAAGAACGAAATGATAATAATAGCTGTCACTATCAAGTGTGTGTGTGTATGCGTGTGTGTATGTCTCCAAATCCTCTTAATAGCAATGCAGGATATTATTAGATACACTTATAGAAATAAAATAAAACAAAAACATGAATCTAACCAAGTCTCAGTGCTTCACCCATGACTATTAAGTGAGTAAGTGGCATTACTGGACTTTGAACCAAGGGGAGTGTGTATTGCTACCAAAAGCCGTGAACTTTCTACTATGGCAGGGATTGCCAAATATTTATTTATTTTTTTTATCACAAACCTCTATCATTAAAAATAACTTGTGAGAATGTATCATCAATATTTGTAAATGCATTCATAAATTATAAACATGCAACATTTATAGACTTATAAAATAATTTTTTTTTTTTTTAATGAAAGGCATAGTGAGGAGGGGGGTTCAATTTCCTTTTTTTTTTCTTTTCAGACAGAGTCTCACTCTGTCGCCCTGGGTAGAGTGCAATGGTGTCCTCATATCTCACCTCAGCCTCAAACTCCTGGGCTCCAGCGACCCTCCCGTGCCTCCTCTGCCTCTGGAGTGCCAGGATTATAGGCATGAGCCACGACGCCCGGCCTAAAAATAAAATGTTTATAGGGCATGCCCAAGAGGTCTCTTCGTATTTATCACTTTGTTGTAGTACTGTGCTTCTCTAAGAGATTGCAGTTAAATGAGCAGCAAGTGATGTTAACAGATCATTTAAGACTATTGCAGGCCGGATGCGGTGGCTCACGCCTGTAATCCTGGCCAAGGTGGGAGAACACTGGAGCTCAGGAGTTAGAGACCAGCCTGAGCAAGAGCTAGACACCCGTCTCTACTAAAAATAGAAAAATAAGCTGGACGTCGTGGCGTGTACCTGTAGTCCCAGCTACTCCAGGGGAGGCTGAGGCAGGGGGCTTACTTGAGCCCAGGACTTTGAGGTTTCAGTGATTATACCTCTGCACTCTGGGCTGGGGGACAGAGCCAGACTGTGTCTCAAAAAAAAAGAAAACAAAAGCAATATTCTAGATGACAATATTAAAAGCAACAGCTACCATAGCTATAGACAATGAATCAATAGCTAGTCAGAAGAGGGATAATTTAAGATTTTTCAAGGGATTACAGATATTGAAATGAATAAAATTAATATTCAAAAATTTAATAAGGGACAAAATAGAAAATACATGTGAAGCATGTCAGTCTGAATAATTTCTGCATTTATACTCCAGTTTGGTCATGAATTTCACCTCACCCAGAGGCTATCCCTAGTTACAGCTATGCTTGAAAAATGGTTTTAAAAGCTTTCATCTGTAATATTCTGAAGGCCAGATTTTTATTCAAAAATCTACCTTTCCATATTGCTAAGGAATTCTGAGACTTGCTGTGCATAATTCTTCCTGTGTCATTTGTGTACATATTCTCTCTGTAGCTTGACAACTCAGTCTTTGCCTCCTACACTGAATTTCTGCTTGTCAGTTCATCTTTCTCTGCTCTCCCATCTTCCCTTCCTTTTCCCTTTTTTCTCCTTCTATTTCCATCTCTTTTCTCTTCATTTTTCTGACTCCTTTAACCAAGTGTGAAATAGAAATGCTGGATAATATTTATCATGTGTTGTATTTTAATAGTTGGTTATATGTTTCATGATCTTCCACAGAAGCTTGAAGAGTACTCTTTGTATTTCTATCTAACATATATTAAACTGGTGTTGTTTATATGTTATTCTCTATACTTCTGCAATAAGACTTCAATAGTTAAGAATATTCCACACTCAGAGGTAGACATAAAGGAAAGAATGTACACAAAATGTGAAAGGAAATAATATTAGGGAATCATATATTTCAGGCTCTATCTAACCCTGAGCCACTTTATCAAAGGAGGAATAAAACTATGCATATGGAGATGGGTGATGCCTCTACTGTAATACTCTTCAATAAATCATCCTTTCAAAAAGAAAAGAGCAGAAAGGAGGTTTCCAATGGCCTTTCAGATACATAATGAAAACTCTACAAAGGCAAGAGGACAACTGAAATGGTTTCTTGCCTGGAATCAAAGGTACTTATAGATATAGGGCATGCTTATTTACACTAGCTAGTATATATTAGCTAGAGCAATAAAGAGTAAGCTTTAAAATTAGTAAATCTGAGAACAGGGTAGCTGTGTAGCATCATGGCTGAGAGTCCACTGCCTGGGTTTCAAAACCGTTTCTGCTGAGACCGTGGGGAAGTCACTTAAACTCTCCATGCCACAGTTTCCTCATCTGTGAAATGGTGGGTAATAATGGCACATACCTATTAGGATTGCTGTAACAATTAAGTAAGTTAATATCTATAATATATTTAAGGCATTTATCATTGTGTAAGGCAAATAGTTAAGTGCTGTTTAAGAATTTGTAGCTATTATAAGAAACTGCACAAATAGTCTAACCTCGCAGATAAGATATAGGAACCTTTTAACAATAAAATGATATGGTATGTGTAAAGTATAAGAAATATATTCAGTGGATAAAACTATATTTTATAGCTATTTTTCTTGGTATCAGAAATACAAAAGGCAAGAAAGGGCAAAAGGTCACTGAAAGCAATGAGAAGAAAATGAAATAAAAGCCAGACTTGCCCATGTTTTTCCACTTCAATTTTTTTACTTCATTTTTTCCATTCAAAATATATTTATATTTTTATTTTATATTTATATTTTTATATTTACCTATATATTGATATATATTCCATTATAAATGTAAATATAGTGTCAGAAGAATAGAAAAACAAACACCACATGTACTCACCATTAAATTGGAACTAATCGATCAACACATATGTGCACATATGGAAACATTCATAGGAAATCAAGCAGGTGGAAGGGGGGAGGAGGGAGGGGGATGGGTAAACTCACACCTAACAGGTACAATGCACACTATCTGGGGTATGGGCACACTTACAACTTTGACTCAAATGGTACAAAAGCAATTTATATAACCAAAACATTTGTATCCCCCATAATATTCTGAAAATTAAAAAAAAAGTAAATATATATTCATAGTGGACAGTTTGGGAAATACAGAAAAAAGAAAAAAATCATAATCTCACTATCCCAAGATAGCTATTGGTAACATCTTTCCTTCAATCCTTCTTCTATGCAAAGCCTCAGTTCTTTTCATGGTCAGTTTCTATTATGTGCTCTCTGTTTTTCCTCTTACCTGGTCTCCATAAGTCTTTTACTCCCAAATGTGTCAGAGAGCATATCAACGCTAGATTTATAAGGACTTAAATATGGTTATCTCCCCAAAATGTTCTACTTATGGACTGGTTCATGAATATTCTCTCATGATTTACTTCAAACAGTTCATAATCAAAATTGAATAAGAAAAAATATATGCTTGCATAATCTGTTTTACTTGTTTCATATATATTTAACACAAGCATCTTAAAGAAACACTTTCGCCTTTCTTTTCTTTCTTTGCAATAAAACCATTAGTGAAGCTAAATTTATTAGACTAATAACGTATTTTGCAGCAGTCAACCATGATCATCACAGAGAGCAGAGTCGTGTGACTTCCAGGACCTTATAAAATATGAGCTACACAGAGATTGTTTCCCAGCTTATAGCTCTAAAATGACATAGAATATTGGAAGAACAACTCATCTTCACAAGTGAGGCAATCATTTAAGGTTATCTCTCAGCATTTTTAAATAGTAAAGGAAGTGTCATTAAAATAATCCTTAAAATGGGGAAGAGAAAATCTATATACTCAGAAAAATAGTAAGTATAAGTGTGTTGAATTTTAACTAAATATTATTTTCTTACATAGTTTGTGAAATTATATTTTCTCAAAATATCTTCATTTGGGCCGGGCGCGGTGGCTCACGCCTGTAATCCTAGCTCTCTGGGAGGCCGAGGCGGGCGGATTGTTTGAGCTCAGAGTTCG